ATATTTAGGAATGAAATCAAGAAACTCGTCGGTAATAAATACGCGTTTAACAAAGAATTTGACGTTCCGTGCAAAATCTTGTACCTTTTGGAACAAATTGTCTGGTGCTTTCGATGGAATGTAGATAATGGCCTTGAAGTCGACATCGCCTTCGCCCTAGCAAGATAACCAAAATTTGAATATAAATTGTAACTTCAATATGTGGTTTAACAACTAAAAAAAATGTCATAGGTACTTTATAATGTGTCCAGGCTAGAGGTGGATTATTATCCTTGGTGAGGGATGAGTAAAAATTTTCATACTCTGAATCCGTAATATTTTTTGGATCACGTGCCCAAAGAGGTTTCTGAGTATTCATGAGTTCCCATCCGGGTATCTCAACTGTCTTTGTTTTCTTCTTTGACTCTTTCTCTTGATCTTCAGCTGGCATATCCTCGATATCGGGTTCGTCCAAATCTTTTTCTTCCTTCTTCTTCTCATCATCTTTCTCCTCTTTTTCTATTACCGTTTCATCTTCCTCGATAACTTCCGTTTTCTTGGTCCATAATAAAATTGGGAAATTGATGAATTCGGAATACTTTGCGATGAGATCACGAATGACACCATCCTCGAGGAATGAATGTGAATCCTCTTTTAAATATAACCTGATTTCAGTACCACGACCCAATGTATTTCCGCGAGGATCTTTGTAGATGGTAAAATCGTTGATGGCTTGTGACTCCCAAATGTATTGTTCATCGTCATTGTGTTTTGTGATGACCACTACTTTATCAGCTACCAGAAATGCCGAGTAAAATCCAACCCCAAATTGTCCAATTAAATTTACGTCTGCTTTTTTCTCTTCAATGGCACTCAGGAATTCGGAAGTTCCAGACTTTGCGATTGTGCCCAAATTCTCTTTAAGTTGCTTTTTGGTCATACCCACACCGCTGTCAGAAATTATCAAAACCTTGTTTTCAGGATCAGGAAAAATCGTGATGTTGAGGTTGGGATTTGCTTTTAGAGCGTCGGGATCGGTGAGCGAAAGGAATCTTATTTTATCGATTGCATCGGACGCTGATATCACGTGATGAAATCACTTAAGTTAGTCGTACACTAAAAAAAACTTCAACTAAGCCAGTACGAAAGTAAATGAGCACCATTTGAAATGAGTTCTCTGAGAAATATTTCACGTGTCTTGTACAACGAGTTGAT